CGTTCCAGGCGCAACGTGGAAAGCGATACCAGGGATCTAGCGCCTATTCGCTACTGTCTAAGGCTTACTGGCAGTAGAATCTGTCCGTTGGTTGGCTGGTCACAGCAGCAGCAGCAGTAACACGATGGCCGCGGCAGCGAATTAATCGATGGACCATTTCAGCGTTCCCATCTGCGCCGACTAGTGAGTGATCAATACGTCATCGTCGTCGGTTCGGTAGCGATAGTAATACCTGTTGTTGATTAGGCCGCGTAAACAATTCTAGGCAGAGGGAAAACAACGGCGCCGATAGCTAGGGACAATGATAAGAACCTCGAAAGACAATGGTCAAGGAATTGTCGCGAAATATAATCGATTTCGAATAGATTAAAACGTACACATGAAAACAGAGAAATATACGACCATTTTATCAGACGCCATTGTTGCTTCCTAGATAACTCCCTACGGGAAACAGCACCGATGCCGTGCAAGACGAGCATGTTTAAAAGTCGGGTAAATGTGAATATATTGGTTTGGACGTCTGTTGACCCTGCTGAGCTCGTCTATCGAGTACATAAAAACTTTTAAAAAAAAATTCAGAATCGATATATGTTGCTGATTCAGATGTTTCTTATTCTATAATGGTTAACCATGCCGCACTATTTAATATCTATGATGCATAGCCTGGTAAAAAGTCTATTATTATGTGTCCATGTGATAGAGATGCCGTTTGGGTTAACATAAATTTTTCTCGTAGACATCCTGTTGCCGTGTAGCTTCTGAGAGTAATTCAACGAAATCGCTTTGGCTGGCTCAGTTCGACCCTAACAAGTCTAGCGTTTTTCACAGCTGCGCACACAAATGAACAGACACAAATGAAAATAAGAGCTAATCTTCGAATAGCAAAAAAAAATTTGTCCGTAGATCGCGATTATAAGTTATTGGGCTATTATGATAGAGCAGTAATTGGACCAGGGATCTGGGTGCTTCGTCGACGGGTCGCCATAGTTATTCTATGTTTAGGATAGGCATCACTGTATATTTGCAGTTCAATAGATAAGAATGGCATCGGTAATGACCGAATCTTTAAATCTAGTCTGGGCCTATTTTTCACTGCAACTCTAAATAATTCCTTTGTAAAAAAACATTAACTTCCCAGACACTCTGCAGCCACCCGGACGTCTTGGTTATCACGTTCGTTAGCATTAGCTTTTAATGTCTTTGCGTATAAAGAAGTATCTTTCAAACATTTGATTTCTTTAAAATAATCTCAAAGAAAATCGGCATCAGGATGAGCCGATCAGACACCCACGTAAGTTCAAGTTAAAAAAACAACTGCCTACATGACCGAATCGAAAAGTAGCCTGAAATACGTGCTACTCTTTTTTTTTTTGTTTAGCAGTTTCGCATAATGTAGGCTTTTTGTTTTTCCTACAGTTTCAGAAAAAACAAGAAAAAGATGGGTAAACGATTGTACTTGCTTGCACTCCATGACCCTGATTAATTAGGCCATACAGCCCATTTGCTAATTCGACAGGTTCCGACTGGCCCAACCTGGGCACAGCTGCCCAAGAATTTGCCCTATTAACTCTCATGCGTACAGCCCAACATTACTCGCTATGTAGCCTTGCATGACCGAAGATTTTTGATACCGGACATTGCAAGGGAAACAATACCAATAAGATGTCACAAGAGAACCGTAGCCACGTGTTCTAGACGACGTATTAGTGTGTTAAGGTGCGCGTAATGCTGTCGACCACACCAAAGCATAATAAGCTATTGATAATGGTCGTCAATCCTGTGTAGAACGTGGTGGATACGCAGCGTGCCGGTCCGATAAAGTACACTGGGATGGATCTGGTCCAGACGCGTCACCTCCTAAATAGCTGGGGAAGCACTAATTATAAGCAAAAATACTATAGATAAGCAAACAAGAGGTTCTATGATACTTCTCACTTTACTATACACTCGTACTGTTTGACAATCAGGGATATATAAGCAGGCGAAACAAAATTCAGTTATTGCGATCCAGCAATCGTAACAAGCGTCATCTTACTGACGCACGGCGCTCGTGACAGATCGTGGTAGTTATAGCGTGTACACATGCAAGTAATTACATACATACTATATTTGCTACAGAAAAACCTCATTGCGTTTTCCATTCGATTTAGTTAATTATATCCATATGTTTATGGATACCTGTCATGTTTCTGGGTGCCAAGTCACAAGCATTAACCGTAAGAATAACGTATGCGCATCCGACAACACACGTCTACTTTATGTCCGCGTCCACTCCTAAATCACCTATTACTAATTTCACTTTTTGACGTTTGCGACTAAGGCCGAGGGAAGGTAAGGATCTGGCTGTGTAGTCTGCCGGCCGGAACAAACACCACCGCTAGCTCTAATACATCAAGCGGTGTCCGAGTTATGGATTCTCCGTCCGTGCTGCCAGGACACGCAGTTAGGGTTACAGCAATAGCACTGACAGCAGCGGACAGCCTGTGACAAGTTAGTTGCAACTCGCTGAAGACCTGACGGAACGCACGGAATAAACTGACTCTCTTATTAAGTTTCCTATGCCTGCCGCTATAGCTCGCTAGGACCAATAGCATGGGGAGCCACAGAACTGTTATAACGATGTTCATAGTTCTGGTAAGGCCATCGGAAATAGCAGTAGCAGCGCCGGCCGCCGCAGCAATGGCATTATTGTCCAGGATTACGTGGGCGCTCTGTCCCATGGCACGGGCTCCGCTGCCGGTACAACAGATGCAGAACTAGCTCGACGCTGCTAACGAGTGGAATCCAAATAACTACAGCCTGCTACAGCGACAATGGCAATAAGATCAGGGCCTGCCTCGCTATTTGCCTGGGCACGGTCTGTGGCATGTTATAATATCTCCGCTCTGTTCAAAGGGGCCCGATCGACTACTGACTCTTTATACTATAGCTACTGTACACTGTAGCTTTATACTATAGGACGGCACGCTCAAAATATCTGCTTTGCGCCTCTCACACTGGCGGCCAACGTCGCTAGAAACATGTTAGATAGAAGCCTTGAGACACCCATTGATTAGACAGCATTAGGAATTTGAATGGATAAGAAAATTCAGAAACCGGTACAAACGTGCAGATGTTCTAGAAGGCCGCAGCAGGTCACCTTTGGAAATTTTAAGATTGGAAAATATATATCTTTACGGAAATATATATATATATACAGAACCATTGTCAACAGGGCATAATGTTCCTGTATAGAAAAATGCCCCCCATAACGATGTCGTTTCAATTAACCAGCATACGGAAAGTTTTTGAGACTGCTATGGGCAAACCTTGGCTATGGTAATAGAAAATCTCGTAATTTATTTCAATAACATTATACTTATTAACCAAGTCGTTCCGGAAGTGGTTTTGTTTTGAAGACAGCATTGCTTTTCACTTTTCAATATATCGTTTAAAATTATTCCAATATACTATTTATTCAATATATTATTTAGGCCAATATATCCGTGTGTGTTGGGACGAATAAACCATCTTAATAAAGAAAAAGCGCTTTTGCTACACTTAATAAAACTGGAATTACAAAGGACAATTATATTATCATATGAGCAAGTATTAGATATATAGTTAAATTTTTAAGGAACCTTTACGGGAATGTTTTGAAAATCGGGTTAAAAATAGTTTTAGTCATTGTCAAGCCTCTGAAATGTTATTATTTTAACTGTTTAATTTATATTACGTCCGTTTTTGAGTATCAACATCAGGTAGTAATAAACGAAGTCTATATGCCGAATGCGGAGGTCGAAAGTCAGGTCGACAAGTGATGACATCGTTACCAGACGGCCTATCAAATGGTAAGGCACAGAAGAGGCAGTACGATGTTTTCATCATTGTACAGTGGTACCGTTACGTGATTCGATGTAGTGTGAACTGCTACAGCCACAAGCTGTACGACTTTGGATATCCTGCTTTTTCGGACGGACTTTGGCAGCGTCTGTCGTTCTCTGTGACCGCCGAAACGGAAACGATTATAGGCGTCAGCAGCGTAGGCATCGATCCTCATCTAGCCGGACCGAAGCTCCGCTTCAAAGCGTCAAGAAGAGAAGGAACTTAAGAATTCGTATCGCAATAGGACAAAGATAGGGCAGATGCCATTCTAACGCCATAGGGCTTCGTAATGAACAGGAGTAACAACGAACCACTTAGTTCATTGCCCACATCGCTTTTTACAGCAGATACGAAAAAGACTATCGTAAGTATAGTGGCGACGCCAAATACAAAATATTGTCGCTTTTTCTTTTGCTCTCCTAACAATTCATGGTTTCACAATCGATGCGCCAGCGCCGTTGCTGCCAGCGCCGTGTTTGTTGACGTCACGCCATGCTACTCGGCACGCTCGTCTTTCATTGAACATGCAATGTACGGCACTTACCGATTCAGCATTTCTGCGTCATCGTTTCGTAAAATTCTTGATTAATTATTGGAATCAGTTAAGCTACGAACAAATGTTGTAAATGTTTTTCTAATCAGAAGGATATCTGCTGCAACAACTATGAAACCAACCAGGTCAATATGGGATATGTATCTCTTTTCGTACCTAACTAATGCTTCACATAGATATCATTATACTGTGGTATTGATCAGTTAGTCGAAATTTGGCCACTGATTAGCTTAGGTTTTCTATTGTAGTTTACGGTTTTGTGTGTGTGTGTATGTGTGTGTGTGTGTTTGTGTGTTTGTGTGTGTGTGTGTGTGTGTGTGTGTGTTTGTGTGTGTGTGTTTGTGTGTTTGTGTGTGTGTGTGTGTGTGTGTGTGTGTGTTTAAAGTTCGGATGGGTATACCCACAATGATCTTGACACGCCAGGTGATAAATCGAATCAAGTTGAAGTTTTTAGATGAGGTAACTAACATATTAATGCATTTCATTACATTACATTATATGCTTGTTTTTGTATTTCGCCGATGTCAAACTGAACGAAAATGATGCTAATCAAAATGGCTACATTTATTTAATGTCTACATACCAAGCTCTGCTCTTCACTAGAGTAATGCGAGAATATTCCTCGATGTAAAGCACAGTAATATCTGTTCCATCCATTGGAAGTAACGTCTCGGTTCGAAAGTGTACTAAATCCGCCGCTGGGTCTTAAACTCCCAGTGGAATTGATCACTCCCGACGATGATTTCTGAAGATCCCCACCTAACGAGGCCCCTCGCCGAGAGACCCTTCGAAACCGAGAGTCTACGACAGGGCTACCTGACCTAGCTGAGTAAACAAGATCTTTATCTGAAAATCAAATCCAAAAAAGATCGTAGTTAAATATTTGTAGAACTCCGGAAGCTGTTTCCTCTACAAAGTGTCAATAGTCGGTCGGATTGAAACACATGAAATAAACAGTGTCTTAGAACCATTATATCTAACAACAACAGTTCCTAAATCAACCACGAGTGGCAATTTATCACGTTACGGATTTCACCCAACTCACATATTTGCTAAAGATATACTAAATGACAATATTTGAATAAAGAAAACTACGTGAAAAAGTTACGGTATTAAATAAGCTTTATTTCTAGTTTAGGCCGCTAGCCCAATTCCTATTCTAGTGTCAATTTTTCTTCCTTAACAATCGCTATTTTCCGGATTCATATTTCGTGTGCTGCTTTTATAGTTGGGTTAGAGGGCTAAGACCGACGATCTACAATCTCCCGTGCGACTCAGCTAATCCCACTTAGTCCTTACTATTTAGATTTAATCGTCGGGTATATTGCATATCAACGTAACGGTTTACAATATTGTCATTGTTACTTCTATAATTATAAAGTTGTCACAAATGCTGCCCTATCGAAATTCCGTTTAGTTTCATTATTTCAGCCCGTCATCGCCAGCGACAAAAGGAAGCAGCCTGTAGATTAAGAACCCTTTTATATTTTGCAACACCATCACATAATTGTCGTTGCGCGACCAGTATTGCCAACGTTCGGAGCACGCTCCTATTTAACTAAGAAGAACGCAAAGGGGCCACGAAAAGAGCAATACTTCCCTTATCGCTGCTATATACTAGACAATTACACGAGTCTTTAAGCAGAACAATGCATTATACATGTACACATAAGCAATTTATGTATTCAAAAATTTCATCGTGGACTACTTTTGACGTCGGCAAATAGGAAATGAATAACAAGCGTGACATGGTCACGTTATTGTTATGGTTAAAAGTGTGTTGTCCGCACTAAGTTGTCCTGTGTTAAATGTAGATGTGCTAATGGCCGACATATTGTGACAATGACTCACGTACATAACAAAAAATAGTATAAACATCTACTGAAGTGTGGAGTGGTAATCAATTATGACCGACGGTGCGCGTGTTGGATGGCATACGCGTTCTGGAAGCTTTACTTGACTGACAGCCCAAGGGACGAAAAATTTGAAAAGTCTTCGAATTCTCTGCCGATAGCTAGCTGGGACGTTTTTTCATTGCTATTTTGGCATTGTTTAGCAATTTTATCGAGGTATTCTATGTCTACATCGTATTCAGGAGTTAGGAGAATAATAGGAATTTCAAATTATTGAAGCAATACGGCCTAGTATTGATCAGGGTTTTCTATCGTTATCAGATCTTGTACAAGAAGCATTTGGGAGAAGATTTGATCGGCACATCGGGAAAAGATGTGCTAACGAATGCTAAATCACTATGTATTGTTATACCCTTTCGGTAATGTATTTATGCGAATCTATAGTTGAATAGGGAAAAAAACGACGACAGAAAGGTCTAAGAGATCACTCGCAACGGATCAAGCGAATGGACGGTGCTGTCTATGTTATAAATGATATGGTCAGCCTTCCGGAACCTTTCCGTCTGCCAGAATGTTTCGGAGCGTCTATTTTATCAAAGATAAGCTGTACCACGAAAATATAATCGCATTGCCGATTTGCTCGCATCAGCTCCTTCACATTGGAGTAATATTATGCCTCAAACAGGGCTTACTCGTTAGATCACAAAGCTTAATCAAACGAATCAACCTCTTGCTAGGCGCGTTTGAGAGGCTCAACTTTTCATTTACTAAGCCTTTGAAATACTATCCACTTTGTGCTTGCTTTCAGTTCGCTATTAAGCAGTAATAGGCATCGTTGTTGGAAATCACTACGGCTTTTAGGGCCGTTCGATAAGGTTTACAGGTAGTGCAACCTCTCCAGTGTCCCGTTGGAGATCCATCAGAAACGGTTCGGGCCGACTTAGTCCCATAAAAAGCATCACCAGTGCTCATTCCCACAATACTTGACGTTGGGTTTGCTTGGGATGCTGATCCGCGTGCGCAACCAATGGCTAATTAAATTCGGAAAATTGCACCGCTATCCTGAATGCTGTTAAGTATCTGAAGAATCAGATTGGGTTTTCTGCACCCACTGCAACCGTTGTTTGTGGAGTAAGCTACTTAAACACTTGGTTACGTCTGCATGTACAGCGACGGTGCGGGGTTTTTTTTTTGGGGGGGGGGGGGGGGGGGGGAGGAATATTTTTACCGTTTTCGTTCTGCCACGTATGAATGCTGCTTTGCACGCCGTGCTAACATATAGATTAATTCTAATAGAATCACAATAACATTATACCAAATCTATAATATTATAATGTTGTGACGTTTGCGATTAACGTCGGCATCATCAGCATAGCCACCAGCAATAGACGAAAAGGACTGAGAGAAACGGACCAGAAACAAGTGGAAATTTCAAGGGTTCGATATCAACTTCGCACGAGCCAGCATTACATGCGTATCTTCGCGCGTTTTCCTTGTCAGCAGCAAGGGCGAAGTGGATGTTGGTATCGTGATGGTTGCCGTGTCGTGGTTGGACTCGATTCGACGAACGGGCAAAAAGCTACGCCGATCCCCCGCCGTCTGCCTGACTGATTGATTGATTGATGTAGCTGCTGCTGCCGCCGCCTAAAAGCCGGCGTTTTTGGATAGCGTTTCGGGTCAAACGCCTGACATGACCTTAAAAATCCCAAAGCTACTATTGCTGGCGTACTTACAGAGGTTGCTTGACAGTAGTCTGAAGCAATTCCTGTTTTAGAAGCACAGCAACTGCACCAAGAGAAGATCTATGCAAAAGAACCTATCTATGCAGAAATAGCGCACACTATGCGATGCCTCGTGTCGGTGCATACCCGCGCTCGATGTGCCACTCAGGCGCTTCTCCCATAGTGGAACGAGCTGTCCGGCTCAACCCACTATCGAACGAAGAGGAAGAATGAAGGCAAATTCAATTTCCCGTAATGTAACTAGGATGAATTTAAGCGGCCGAGGTACTTGAATAGTCTGTTACTCATTTTAATTGGTCGCACTCTTTGCAGTATCTTATAGACTCTTGGTTTACACCGATTTGTTTGTGGTACAGCTTCAGTTTCCACTAGGGCTGTGATCCGACAGAATACGTCACTCTGTCCACTATGCTCGTATAGAAGTGCGATGGAACGTAATGAGGTTACTCTAATCGTTATTTAAGTCATTTACGACATATATATATATAATGTATCTTTAATAGATCGAATAGATACGGTAGTCTGTCAGGCAAGTGGATATCGTGCTTGCTAAGCATGTTATATGGTCCTGCTTTAACATTACTATGTCGATGGTTCGTAAGTAAACTTCACCCTTAGCGAACTCAGTAACGTGGAAAATTAGTCCAGCCGTGACTAGTTTCTGGTACAATATTGAAAATTATAATACTGTCAAACAATTAAAGTGTGCTATAATTGTCTATCACTTTTGTTATCTTATGAAAAAATTCGTTTCACATCTTCTCTAGCCAATATAGGCGCTTGATGGGTTTGTACACCGATATGTATATAAATACTTGTATAGCTATATATATTGTATATGGAGTTTTATACCTGCGTTCTATACTAACGTATGATCACCTTTATTTTCCCGCTAAATAGTAATTTTCTTAAATGTTGACGTTATCATTGGCAGACGTCGGTGGATTTATCACGTACGCAATCAACATGGATAGATAGGCTGGTGCGGTGACGACTAGTACACGATTGAATTATGTTCGAGCATCGAGCAAAAATCCTATAATCTTAGTCCATATGAAGTATTCATAAGACGGTTGCAGCAAAGGTACCTTCACCCATCCAGTATACCGTGAGTTATATGGTTGGTCGATTAAGCAACCGTGCCTATTTCTTTATTGTCCTCTGACTGTCCTGAATTCTAGCATGGTCATAGATCCAGGGCATATGCTGAGCATCAATACCAATCCTTGCTAAACAAATCTGTCACATACTGTTGACCGAAGCTATTATATTATGGATCAGAACTGTGAATGCTGTTCATGACAGACAAGCTAACACCAGGATTTTATTCGAAATCGAATAAACTCAATCGTAATATAGGGTACCTCGGGATGACTGCAAATGCATTATTTAAGTATTGTCGTACAAACTGAGATTTATACAAAATACAACCAGGAGTGGTCCACCGTCTGTTTCCATATCGAACGCTTTTAGTTATAACGGCAGCAAGATCCAAGAACAATTCGTGCTGAAGGTGAGACTTGTTTAGCCGCGAACGATTTCCAGCTGGCGCAGAAGCATCGAATAGCTAGAAGAAAAATTTCGTGAAAATCTTCTGCCCTACTCAGTCAAAAAATACGGGATTTAACAGTCACGGGAATATCAATTAAATTCTAAGAGAGGACAAAGTGCGAGACAATTTGGCTATTACCTCACACTTTTCGTAAAGCATACGTTTTCACCTATAAATTTATCTAGACTTTTTCTTTATGCGACACATAAATAATCGCAATTACACTCATTCAAATCAAAAACAAAATATGCTACTGCGCAATGATATTATCTCGCTGCTTTTTCGGTAATAATATGCTGACATTAGGTACTTGTTTGACAAACAAAAATGTTTGCTGCAGGTAATGTATTGCTAAACCCGTAAAGAAGCCAAAACCAAAGTAGCATGTGCTTCCCAACCAGAGTTTCGGATCGTAAGCGTAGGTCAGACTTGCTCTAAAATAGGCTCCTCAATGATGAGTGATGATAGAATGTCGTTCGTAAGTTACGCTCTAAAACATCGTAGGACATCTAAACTTGATGCAATGCCACGTACGCCGATCGAAAATAGTACAGGCATGCCAAGCCACCAGAAACTTCCTAAGGCTCATTGGCAATTCTGTTTGAAACTTCTTCAATAAATCGACAATAATCTGAGAATAAAATAGCAACAGACCAAGCTTAATTAAAACTTGTCCATCAGTCTCAAAGGCTGTCGCCTTCAACCTATCAAAGCATGTAAGCTCTCGCAATTCCGCTCTAAGCCGCTAAAGCAGCTCTGAAAATACGTACAACATGGTACCTGGTTCTTCACTCTATGGGTCGTGCTTTGTAGGAAGTCGGAGAACTTTTTTAACTCAATTCTCAGTATATAATACAGCAAACATGAAAGTTCGGTGTTTGCCTTGACTAAATTGGCCCCAGTGGTGCTGGTAAATAATGCAAAAACGTTCACTGTTTTAGATTGTTCTCTTCAAAATCAAGCTTTAATAAGTATTCAAACGGGAACGAAAACGGAAAACGCAGTTCGTTTGATCAACAACAACGCACGTACAGCGTCCCTTCCCGGTTCGTATAGACCATATCGAACAGATAGGGTAAAAGTTACGGCATAGTTTTCATTAGCATTACGACGACCTGCGAAACGATAAGCAGATGTACTTCGAAAACGAGTAAGATCGATCGTTTTATCTTCCTAGGGAAAAAAACTGATGGCGTAGCCGTTATTGAGGGCAAAAGTAAAATTACTCTTATCTCGACGAGAGAAACATTTAGATAGATACCGACCGTTCAGAGTACGTGGGCAAGCGCAGGTGACCCGAAATGCGCCGCACAATTTTTAGTAAGCCAGTTATAAACAGTTCGTATTAGTTTGGCTAAACAATTGATAGAAGGCTGGCTGCGAGGCCAGCTGACATTTATTTCAAATACCGAGATTGACATATGCAGATGAAGAAACTATGAAGATGCAAACGACTTAGGGAATGGCTTGAATCTTATATACAGGTATAGGTAATACAACGATTCGACAGTACGACCATTGTATTTCTGAGGTCCGCGTGAATCAGCCGTTTAACGCCTCCTAACAGTGTCCATTAGGCGTTTAGATAAAATTAGTTTAGAATAGCTCATAAAACGGGAGAAGAAAATCGCATACGCTTGTTTTGACTGTACCTATCGATTTCAGAGGATCCAAAACGTGTCCACTGTTGTGGGATATGTATTCGTTAGGCGATATCGTATACCACTAGGGTAAGTCGACAGTGAATCCCGCTAGCTCATAGTAGATAATATAGTAGTATAAATAGTACCAAACAGAAACGTAGTGTAGTTTAGTTATCGGCTTTACATAACATAATAATATTCCCTATTCAAGCTATAGCTGATCCAATCACCGTATTTGGCCAACGTGTTATTTTCAAGTCGAGTACATTAATTACTATTTGTTTGTTTTTTTTTTTTTATTAGTTTTACTATCGTAGGCAGACAAACGCGCTCAATCGGCTAACTTCATAAAGTTATATATCATCAGATAACGATTTGGATATTTCAATTTAAGTTAATTTCAATTAAGAATGTGTCGATTGCGCATGAACATTTCTGAAACACAGCCAAACGTATCTTCTCCCAAAATTTTATCTTCACCATATTGTAATTATACATCAATTTCTAATTAGTAACAGCAAATTACGCCTCGTGCCAAATGTCTATAATAATGAGTCCGCTCCCGCCGTTCGGCAATAGCCTAACAGGTGTCAAAGGTAACAAGTTCAACCAGTGAATATGTTACCAACCTTTATGTTATTTCTCCATATTTGTTGGTGGCCGGAGTCTCCGAGTGTTAGCAAAAAGGATGTGAAATTATTGGTGACTCGTAATAAATCAGTTCAACATTTGGATCGTCGTCTGACTAGAAGGAAATTCCTTGCTCCTTCCACTAAGCAGCCCGTTTACATGCCATCCTATGGCCTTATATCATTGATACTGCAAAGTAATGTATGGCAATAATTAGCAAAACAGAAAGAAGACGATTAATTATGCAAGGGAAATTTCAACACAATTTAAATTTAGGCGCCATTCATGGATACGCTATGGTTACATATATCGCCGCCCTTAATCAATCAGCATAACAGATGATCGTAAATCTTTTATAGGTCTTATCGAGATCTACTACGGAGGGTAAATAAATCAGTGGAGTAAAATCAACTCGCGTTACTCTTGCTGCTATATTATTCTCCAGAACGTAGCTAAATTTACCTAGATCGGCTTTGAGCTAGAGTTCACTTAATAAGTATTGTATGAAAGAACGTACATAATACTGTACTTATATGTATAAGATTGTAAACTCAACCTGAAATTAGCCTATGTATGAGATATTTGAAGTGTTTAACGCTGTCTGCTAGTGCGAACCACTGTCTGCGGGATAGAACTATTCTGACTGGAACAAAAAGGGCAGTCTTTTGCCGCTAAATTAGCTTCTATACGTCCACAACCGATACGTTACACTAAAAATTAGCACATGTCTACAGAAGATAGCAGTACCATATAGAAAACCAGAATTATGTGGTTACGACATTGGTATGTTGTCTCTCGCTTGTTAAACTCATCCATCGAACAGAGCCTACCATGGCTCTAGGATATGTCAACATATTACCGAACGCTATTTTCGACTCTCTTTACAATCATAAGCCTCTTGTGCCTATTTTATGGAAGCAAACATTTATCTCTCTATCTGTGAGTTTATACGATACTACTGCTGTTACCTCGCTTATTGTTGTTGTTATCATTTACCCGAATTCTACCTAGAAGCTGGGAAGTTGGTTTACGGATCAGTCTATGTACGTGTCTGTTTATGCTTTCCCCATATCTTCAAACTGATACGAATATTCTTTGTATCATTATCATTGGCTATGTTTCGCACGACGTGGAGCTTCTTTTGCTCTGTCACTCGCGTGGCAATAATCAATTAACTTTAAACACTGCCATGAAGTTCGAATGGGTTACCGATATAATGATAAAGACAAGACCAAAACAGGGTGGTCTCGCGCCCACTATATGGGTTATACTGTAGCTCTACCTGCACAAACTATTACATTAAAAAAAAGAAAATTGCTAACGGTGCCGTCTAATCATAAATAGAGAGATAGATAAAAATCGAGTTTGAATGATATACAGATAGATTAAAACTATGTATACGCAAATTAGCTTCTGCACTAAACGTTGCCACACGTAAAAGTCTGTCTGCGTTTCTAATATTGACTCCAAGCGAAAGTACAGCATCGCCGTACGTACGACGATAAGCTACATAAGCAACAAACACACACAAGGCAGAAGTTTGTGGCCGTCGTACAAGTTTAGGCTGCCCCTTTTTATAACTGTGACAGGGGTATGACGTCGCGTCGGTCGTTTGCCGGCAACAGGCTCGTGCAACTTCGTACTGTGAGCTCCGAGTGGGCGAAACTCTTCCTGCTATCACCATCGCAAACATCAGCGTCAATCGCTTGTAAATCGTAAGCGACGTTATACCTCACTGAATTCCTTCGACTTTGTGAAAACCTTTGACAAATGAAACTTTGCGTGGATGGTGTTTCCGATGAAGCGGCGTAATCAAACAGAAAGTCGACAGAAGATTATCTTACCAGGCTTACTCTCTTTGGTATCATCCTGTGATTGGGAGCAGAACGAATAGAGCCCCAGACAACAGCGGAAGATCAGCGACAGTCATTTTTCTTACCTTTATAACAAGGATACTGCTGGCGCGGAAAATAGATAACGGAAATTCGTTTTATTATCATTATTATTATCTAGCCAAAACAACTACAGTAAGGGTGACATTAGGGCCGTAATCGTACTGTTTGAGCATTCGTCTACTCCGGCACCTTGGCGTTCCTATCAGCAGCTCCGTGTAGTACATGTTGAATGCATTTACTTAATAGTATGACAACGTTTATACAGTGCGAGCGCGAACGGTATTTAGATGGCGGCAATAATGAGTCAGCGAAAGCCTCCAGGATGGACAAACAAAATGCGGGCTCGCTTGCCTTACACACCCCCAAGTGCACGGACGCACCTGAAGCTGTAAAAAAAAAAGCGTTATTTCCAAAAAATGACAGCGCTTATTTGTGTCGCCAGGGCTGTGCGCATTGTTGGGTTTCTTGTCAATGCTGATTTTTCATTGCTGGACCTATCTGCCCCATGGCTGGGTTACTAAATAGTTATCGACAAATAATACCCGTTGTTACTATAAAAACATTAAGTAAAGATGTCGTGCAAGACAATATACGTCCTGTAGATTATAGACACGTTCAGAATAAAGGCGTATTAGAGAAAGTAGCTACAGAAAGAAGCAAGAAGATGTTATAATGGATAAAACGCTCTTTGCTAGACCAACGAAAAAGGAGTCCTATAAGTGACACAGGTAAGTATAGCAGTGTTGCGTAGAGCATCGCTTCTGCCGATCTGTCAGACAACTTAAAGATAATATGTATAATCAAAAATGATGATGAAGGCTGCAACATCATGTACCGTTCCTAAGCCAAAGCGGCATGTACATTGAATGAAGAGAAAAAGCACATTTTAGCTTAAGGAGCGTTCCAACATTTTTCTGCCGGTGTATTTATAGGCGGAATAATAAAACGCCGTAATCACTTTACCAGCATGAGTGAACAGACAGTAATAAGCGAGTATCGTATTTGCGCAGCTATCAATTTGGGCTATATAAAAGAACCCGGGTAAATTATACGGAAAATGCACCTTGGTATTGCAGTGCTCGCTGATTGTAACTTGTATGAATCCATTAGATAAATAGCAACAATAAATGAAGCCTACTTAGGCACTAGATGAAATAGAAAAAAAAAATTGTAATAACTAAAGCAAAGATCCAGACGAACGACACCAATTCAATAGAAGTTCACCGCATCAATATAGTTAAATATAATGATAATAACGATAAAAATAATTATTATTGTTGAAGTCCAGGTACGTGGAGAAAGGTCACTCGCAAATCTGCATATCTGTTTGCCTTCATTCATCGAAAGCTGACAGATGTAGCCCATGTCTCTGCAAAATAGGCGATAATTAACGGCGAAATCAATAGTGCAGCTCACTAGAGGAATAGATCACGAAGCACTACCAATCAGTGAATCAAACTACGGCTGGCCGAAACATATAGTACTTCTTACAACAATGAGAAAAGACGCGCTAAAAATAATCGGAGTCAACTATGAAAATAGATACAAATACCAGATGCAGTAGCGATTCATCTAAGGATCCAACAGTGTATGTAGAAATATCGATGATCTGGCACATCCCGAATAATAGCAATGGTTCGAGATCTGGAAAGTCTCTGGTGAGAAAAGCGTCTCAGCGTCGGAAAAACAATTAGTTTCGTTAGCCGAACGATAGCTTTTAGTATCCTGATTCACGGAGAAACAACGTGCGCGCTTACGCAAGGAACAAGAGAAAAAAGGACTAACAATCGCCGCTTATGAATGTAAAGCGGACCGTATGCCACCTGACGAATCTACCTAATGCTAAACAGTACAGAGAAGTTATATGAGCAATAGCATCACTTGTTGACAACTATTTATTTATTTATTCATTTCGACGCTATCGAAATTACGATGCGGGCAACGCTCACCAAATAATGACAACGGTGGAAAAGCACGTTATCGCTAAATGGAATAGCCAAAAGAAGCGGAACGCTACCCGAGGAAACGCTCCTATTTGTTTGCCGTCGTCTTGCTTCGCCAAAGATCGTCGACGTTTTCACCGTCTGAAAATTCGTGGGCCACGGTCACGTTGACTTGAGAGTAGTCTGTAAACAGCTTTATGTAGCGATTTCATCGTAAAGTTTCAAACTGGCGGGCTCTGAGCCAAAGGGAAGCGTACACAAGAAGAAGTTATAACTGATTTACGTTGAGAGGCCTTTAGAGAAATCAGACGACAGAATAAAGCTATGCGAAATGTTCTTTCCACAAGCGTTTCATGGATCATTTAACATATCAGTATAGATTGAGTAGACAAGAGTATAGTCCTTCTGAAAGCTGATTAAGGTTCGACATGATCCCGGGCCGTTTGAACGCAATAACTTGCTCCTGTTTGACACTTCGGGGTATAGTTGTCAGTCACTGAAGCACGTCGGCTGAAAGAAAAATAACATTTCAACATGTTTACAGTCTATTATTTTTGGGACCAAATGGCTGTCGACATCTAGCCTATGACTAACCCAAACCATCTATCATATCCGCACTTTTTTGCTTATGAATACCCAGACTCGTATCAGCTATTCGGACTATACGCATGCAGTAGACGCACTCCACCGCGATTCTGCCGCTAGTTTAAGTCCAATCTAATCTTCTTAAGTAGAGGCCGAATTTGTTGCAGGTTCGTGCTTATCTATTTGCTATGGTCCGTTGTACCGATGGGAATCTTATAGCGTCATTGAATTTTGCCACCGATACCGTCGTTATCAGACTGCCGGTTCTCAGCACGAAATGAAGCATGGCCACGCCCGGATTCGAACCCACGTCACCACATGCCTCTTGAGTTGCCCTCATCTGGCAATCTGTTGTACTAACTCGATAAATCCACTACCACCTGAGTTCGAGTTATTGTATAACTTTGCTGTAGGATTGTGTTAACCTGTTTTAGCAGCTTCAATAGACTACTTCAGTTACCGTATCCTTCTGATTTGATTTTCCGTTACTCTAATTCAAATATTCCACTATCATCGTTGACCAGGTATTGCACTTTTCTATGCTATGCTCGAATACAATTAAGGCATCACCGGGCTATCGGGGACTCGTTGCCCCCGTTGCGGTCATCCGTTAGTATTTGAACTTTCAGGGTAGCCGAATATTAATTGCGTCCGAAACCGATAAGCTTAATTAACAATTACCTGTGTCCGAAACCCAGCTCGTTTCTTGAGAAAACATTTCAGACACAGCTTTTAAGATTCAATTTTTTGCATATCGTGTAGATCTCGAAACACAAAGCGCTTTCTATGTTGAAGTATACTGTATTATTCGTAGGAAAGATAAATTATATTTTTTCCTTTGATTTTTTTCTGAAAAGCGCATTAAAAACCGCATATACACATGTATCACTGCGTCAGCACAAAGCTCCAGCATTCTACATTAGGCATAATGGGCTGTTCGTAGCCATTCGAGAAGGTACAAAGAGATTAAAAAAGCTTCAGAGTTTTACGGACACTTATCAGTACGAAACCAAATATACTAACAATATCGGAAATACAGATCTAGCACTAATGAGCGAATGAATGAATGAGGCAATTGTAGCACCGGCTACAATTGCCTCTCTTAGCGAAGTTTCTTCCTTGATCCGTTGTTGTAAATCAAGGGCAACTGGTACAGAGCACAGCTGCGATGGGTAGGTCGTCAATCTAGAATTAGCATCGGTTGTCAACTTGACACGAAGAGCGCCATATCCAACAATATCATTATGTAGCTCTAATATTATTGCTCTCCACAAATCACTGCTACTGCAATATATGAAATGTGAGGGTACTCGCTGAAAAGCCTAAAAGTTGGTCCTTCGACAGTCCAGAGGACTACCCGTGTCGGCATATACATTTCGCTAAATGACGTGCCAATGCTATCGTAAACATAAACCGGTGACAAGCCATAATATGTACGTCTCCACAACAGATATAAACACTTGAACAAACACTGTATGAATATCACATGCTGACACGCACATACTTATGCTGATGCTATCCATATATTAGTACGCAATGAATCTACAAGCACCAATAGCAGCATTTGTCCTATTCCAACAGGTCTACACAGTAAACGAAACCGATTCTTCTTAGGGCAAAACAGGCGACAAAAATATCATGAAAATTAGTAGCACCGGAACGGCGTGCACAGCGTTTATCTTAAGTGTTAAATTGTCATTTATCTATTGTGGTGATGGAGCTAGCTGTTGTTTCGCTGGAAAAACTAGTATTACTGCCTACCGCCGGTTGTTAGCGGGTATCGGTCGAGTTCGTTGTATCCGAAAAGGTGCAACAATGTAATCTGCAGCTCACAGGAATCACCGTGATAGCTACAAAAAAACATCGCTTCATCACATTGAGGTACCCTAAACTGCGCTTTGTGTCAGGCAGTGGCCGGCGCGGATAAACCTGTCTAGCACAGAAACTTGGGTGACCTTTTTTTCTTGGAATACGTCATGTTCCCCCGCTGCTGTTGACGTTGCCGTTCCAAGGAACACAGGAATACAAAATGAGATTGTTGTAAACGACGCTCAGAAGGCAGGAAAAACACAATAGATACATTGAAGTATAACATTAAGGTAGAATTTGCCGAACCAACAGCTTCTAAGAACCTAAAATGAACACAGGTGAGTTCTGAGTTGGCTGGTCCCATCAGCTTAATTCAGATATCGATATTACTAGATAGGACTATATGCGACATCAATATAACGAAGGTTGTTCCGGCTGTCAGGTGGATTGTGGTTAAAAATTGGAGTGCGCTGTTTCAATCGTGGGATTGGATGGCGGCCATGGTTAAACTATCCACTTTGCATATATATGCGCTACTGATTACATGGAATATAATGATATATTTTTATAAAAGTACCAGTGACCTGGAAGCCACCTTTGATAGCATGTAAATATACTAAGTAAAGCATGAAGGCGACGCTGTTTCTTGCAGTACAATACAGTTTCATAGACACCTAATTATGTGTGTGTGGGGGGAAGGCGGGAATAATAAGCGAACCGAAAAGTTTTTCACGTTCTTTCGGGCACGTTTTGAACCATATCTGATAGTAGTACAGATTAATAGTAAGCCGATAAATACGTATACGTAAGTGAACGTTAGATAATATAATTATTCGAGTATTGATACCCACCCGACATCGTCTGATTCACTTTATAATGCATCTGAGAAAGCCACAGCTGGTTAAACATCTACTTAAGAAAGTTAACAAGAACTAAAAAAATGTACATTGTTGATACTTTCCAATAAGATAGAACTTACTTCGCCATAGTAAATATTAGAGCAAAGTTTTATAAGACGTTTATTTAATACATCTGTTCTCAATAATCAATCGAGCTTTACTTAGGTTACTGACGGGGACTGTTCGGATAAATGGTGGTCAAATCATGGTTTCAGACAACCGAGTCCGCCGGCACAGGTCGGCCGATCTCGGATTAACTTTGTGTCTCGCATTTGGTATCGTTTTATGTTACGTTTAAAGTAAAACATATACGGATATGTTTTAGTTTAAGCATACGTAGCGCCATTTAGCCCCATACATATTTCCACACAAACTTATGTTTCAGTCATGAAAAGAGCTTTTCAGCTAGCAAAAGGATATACGAAACACCAAACCCTTTTGTAACGATGATCAGTTAACGCGGCCGTTTCTCGTGTAGATTAAACAGATTTCAATACAAGCGCGACCGGAGTCTACAATCGGACATTCAGAGACAAAGAAACAGTTCCTGTTAAAACTAACCTAGTAACATCAATAATTACTACGCTTACGGAATATTTGAGGAAAGAAGCCCCTGGTCATTTTCGTACGCTCATAGCAAGAGGTGATACATAGCTTCTGTAACTGACGCAGGCGTCTCGATCTAAAAGACGTCTCGCGGGCTTATTATTTAAGAACGAACGCGTTCATGGTGACCATCGCTTGTCTCCTCAATTGCTATCTCTGCATTATCGAGGCAAAAAAGCATGTAGTGTTGTCACATTGGAAATATTTTTATCCATCATGTCCCTTGGTTGTGCACAGATACCTTTCTTTCTACCTTATTACAGAAAAGTTGTCGTAACCAAACTCGTGTGAAACGCTCAAGATTACATGCAATGATAAAGGTGTGATATTATCTAGTTGCTATTTTTTCCGAGTTCCTTACGACCCTCAGATAGAAGTCAGGCGATTACTCGTTACTTGTGAGAGACACGTTGCTTAACCGGCACTCTTCTTCAGCATAATAGTAAGCCCGCCGAGTTCAACGCACGGGCTTATGGAAGGTTTTCCTAAACCCCTGAAGTCCTTACCAAACGAGACCTCACATGGTTG